AAAATGCAGAATTCATAAAGTTGAAGTTTGACTCAACTAGTACAACAAATTCCAAAGCACTTTGCACAAAATTCAAGGAACCCCAGAAACATATGCCAGAAAATTCATTAATTATGTATACATAACATTTTTCCAGTTATTACCACTAGAAGTCGTCATTCTAAAATTCAGAACTTATAAAGTTAAAATCTTGGTTTTGCCCCGTACACTACAACAAATTCTAAAGCAATCCAAACAATTTGATGCACTAAACTCCTGCTATACATAGCTCCAAGAAAAGATAAAACTATAAGAGTCTATTATACGCAACTTGATCCATGCTATGTAACACAGAAACAACTTTACTAGTTACGTCAACGCTCCCCTTCACCCCATAAACATATGACACAAAATTCATCAAAGAAAAATCTCAAACAAACATCAACCTTGAATTATTTTTTTCTATAAAAAAAAAAACATACCTTGAACTTTGTATTGTGTTTTTCTTGTAGTGGGATTAATAATAGCAACAGATTTTCCAGAAGCTGATTTTCTCCATTCTCCTTCACAATAATATTTGTACACTTCTCCATCAATTATTTCTGCAAATACTCCATTTCCAGCCATTTTTACACCAAAATTTTAATTTTTTTCACAATAATTAAAAAAAAAGGATAAGAAGAGAAAATGGTGGATTTTTTTTTGGGTGAATTTAGTGTGAGTGAGAGTGAAAGTGTGAGTTCTATAAATATAAATTTGGTGGAGAAAGATGAGCCACATTTACTAGTATTGAACAATTTTGAGACATGGATTTTAATTTTGAATTTGACATTGTTTATGGAGGGTATTTACGATATTGCCATTGTGATCTAAGTAGTTAGAAATTAAAAGTTAGTTGAAAGACACGTTTCTTTTTGAACGGTCCACTTGTAAAACTCGCATACCTTTAATAATTATTTGTTTACATATATAAGTATTATTTATAATTTGTCATCTACTTAAGCGGAAGGTATTTCAGAAACAATCGATCCATCTCTCCAATGTGAAAATTATAAGATCTACTTATATTTTATTTTTCTCAAAATTTATGTGTGAGAGAGATTATACAGATATGTGTTGGGTTCGAAAGTGATCAGACGTCATGTAAAAGCTTACAATTGCAAATTATATAGTCGATAAATCAAACGAGAAATAATAACATACTAAAAACATATGATTTGACCAAACGGGCTACATAAAATAAAACTAATATTGAAAAATATAAACATATTGAGAAAAATCTCCCCATAAACAAAACTTCTTATCGACTACTAATATATATTAACTCTCTCTCTATATATATACATATATTAGCATTTACTAATATATATTAGCTCTATATTTACCATTTTACCTATAAAGAAATAATTTAATTATAACTATACAAATATTTATGACTTATTTTACATTACGAATTTTAAAAACATTTATTTAACTAATTACAAATTTTCAAAAATCATCACATAAATTGAGACAGAAACAATATCAGCTATGATCATATGTCAGCAAGGGTGGTTAGATATAATTAAAATAAGAATGGGCTTTCCATAAACAAGTTGTTGTTTCTTGAATTGGAAAAGGATATTAGATAATGTACAGAAGATTGAGCTTCTAAAAATGTCAGCAGCCCCAAGGAAGTTGGAAGTTAGAATTATGTCATAAGGATAGCAAAAATGTACACATCTCATCCTTCCGAGCGGAGCTAGAGTATAGTTTACGAATTAAATCGAATTCAGTAATATTCATCCAAATCCTATATTTATCTTAAGAAATTTACTAAATATATGTAGATTACTTCAATAATTTAAAATGACAATATTTTTGAATTTATATACTTCAAATTCTAGTTCCGCTTCTATATCTTTCAATCATTCAAATAAATCCATACCTAAGTATGGGCATTTGGTTCTATCCACAGTCTAAAGCAGCTTCCTCTTATCTTTTTCCTCCATTTGCAATATAGATTTTTGCAAAAACAGTGGGTGTAAATGAATGAACCTTCCTTAGTTGATCTATTGTTAGGGAAACTTCAAGTCATATTTTGAGGTTTGAATATGGTCAAATATCCAATTACAATTGAAGGGATTTTAACTATTTCATCATACACTTTTATTTTATAATTAACATGAAATTTCAAGATCACCAATGGAGTAAAAAACTATTAGACTCGATATAATAAATTAAACTAACGTGGGAGGCATCATTGTTGATTATAATAGCAAAACTAATTAGAACATATGGGAACTTAATGTGCTTACAAATTAGCTGGTTGAAAGTGATGGATCAGGTAAAGAAGGTAGGGGGCAAAAAAAAGGAGTGTAAATAATGGAGATATCATGAATTCTAAAGTTCGGTAATTTTTACTTAATATATATATGTAATTGTAAAACCAATAACTAAGACGACTTATGAATTTATTGACAAATTCAGAACTCATAAACTTCAAATTCTATCTCTGCCTTAGATGAACTTCTTTATTTATTTATTTGCAAATCGTGTAATAATCCCCAACTATATGGTCGAGGGTTTATCAAAAACAACCTCTCTACCTTCTCAAAATAGGAATAAGATCTGCAAACATTTTACCATCTTCAAACTTCGCCTCTTGAATTATACTGAATTTGTTGTGGTTGGTATTTTTAAGTAAATCTCCAAATATATCAAGGAGAGGGAAAGTGTATACAAGAAAGGGACACATTTTGGACCATATATAGAGTGTTTGATGACTTTGTGGCTCATATGCTTTTGTTTTCAAATCCTAAGGCTTTGGAGAACCACAAATGTAGTTAAGGGGTAGGTGAGCCCATCACAAATTACAATGACTTCAAAGAGCATGGCTAAAATTATTTTAGGACCACACAAATGAGGCCCATCAAAATTGTTGAGTTGGAACCTGTCAGTTTGGTGATAAAAACATGAGTTGGTTGTCTATAACAAACAAGACAAAGTGACCACACCCCTTTAAAATCTTACTACTATCATTTTGACATATAATTTACCAGAGGAGTTTTAACTTCGAATCTTAGATATGAAATTGTCTTTGATAAGGAGCTTTTACCTTTAAAATTGGAAGTTTTTAACGCGAATTTGGATTGATTTGGGGCTCAAAGCAGGTATCAGATACAAATGTTGCTCGAACTCTTCAATATTAATGTCGTATTCGTTTGGGTCCTCCAAAAATGCACTAATCCTGGAGAAATCAACACGCTCGTATCAATATTCTTGAAGAGTCCGAGCAATATAGTCATACACCATATGGAAAACAAAAACATAAAAGTTTTAACAATATGCACTAGCAGTGACTATCAAGAGTTGTGATGGAATGAATAAGATTTCTTCACTTTGAATCAAAAAGTTTGGTTCGAGCCATTGAAGATGGAATGTGTCATTTTTATGACTATAAATACATGACATTAAAGCAAAATACTAAATTTGAAATAGAAGAGTTTTGCCTAGAAAGATATTATTCTTTTTTAAACGAATAAAATTAAACATAGATATTTATCATATAAAACCGATATTAAATTGTTAAATATTGATTTATTGGTTATCGATCAATATTAATTTGGTTATCAGCTTAACCATTAAGATTTCACATAATTTCTTCAATGAAAATTACTTAGAAACAAATTAACAACCCAAATGAACCATTCATATTATGAGTTGGTAGATTGCAGCTTACTCAAAGATGACACTCGCACATTATAGAATTACTAAAAAAATTAATATAGTGAGAAGTAAAAGTATGAAACTACACCCTAGCGAAGAACTTTATATATCAAAGGGTATAATTATAACGAGTTAATATCTCAAAATATCACTCAACTTTGAGAATTTATCTAGCAAAGTCACTGAACTTTGTTTTGTTTCATTAAAATCACTAAACTTGACCTTTCTATCAATAAAATCACTCAATCAACTTTATCATTAAAAAAAGTATTGGCATGGCAAAATAAATTATTATTTTTATATCATGTAAATATAAATTCCACAATTAAATAAATGTCATTTTAGGACTTTTCACTTCTCACAAAAATTTTTTCAAGAAAATCAATTGAAATGTATGTCCAAAACACAATTTTTAAATCTCAAAATTTATTTATCAAAAAATTTAATAAATATTTTTTTCAAGCTTGAACAAATATATGTCAACGTTAGCAAACCGTGGAATTACAAAGGAAAAATAACAT